AACACATTCCCTGGCTCGGTTGCTGAAGCCTCGAGGCCATTTAAGGTTGAACACCACACGAGCTCAGGACAGCAGGGAGAGGTCAGGAGGAGAGCAGATCAGAGACAAATGTCCCGCTGCCACAACCGTCACTTTACTTGAGATGGGGAGTGACACACATGCATGGACAAACACACGCCTCTGCCTCTGTTTCACGTTGTTGCCTCACAAGAGGATATGTCCAAGTTAGAGTGTAACACTATCGTCTCAGCCTAGTGCACATATATTAACACCTGGTAATCTCGAACTCACACCTGCTAGCAAGGACATTTAATGTGTAAAGTTAAAGTTTAGTTTTTCTGGGATGCACGCTAGCATGTGCTGCTGCATTTAGGCTGCACTGATGCAGCTGAACAGACTCTGTGAGGTTCCAACAAAGTAAAGCTTGGGTTTCAAGATTTAAAGCCTGATGTGTCCCAAACAGGACAACCTTCTCTGCAAAGTCAAACTGAACCTTGGGACAAAAACATCAGAAGCCTGGCATTGCTCAATAGTTGTTAATGATTCATTTATTTTCCTTGAACGTTATTATCCAGAATTCCAAGAGATTAACCGAGAAAGTCAATGTGACCTGACTCAGTCGCAGTCCTATCAGGTTGGTCTTCACTACATATCTCTCATCTCTTCCAGAGCAACCAGCATATGACCAAACTCTTGTTATTTCAATGATGTGAGACTAAAACTGACTGGCATATACTTAAATCTGAGGTTTAAATGGTTAGCTTTCCATCAGCAGGAGCACTTACTATTGGCGCGGAGTAAAAGGGACTGAAAGATCTGAAAAGCAATAAATAACCAAAGAATAACAATCCAGGGACGAGTACCAGACAGAACGATTACCATTATAAATCTAGCCTCCCTCTGTTTAAAATAAACAAACAAATCACTGGTCTTTCAAAAGTCATGTTGTTTGCTCCTGTCTCGTGTCAATGTCTCGATATGAGTCTGTCTTCATTAATTGTCGCAATGCAAAGTGTGAAGTGATTAACTACAATTAATCTACAGCAAACTCAAATGACATTTATGAAAGCATCACACTACCATATTAATTATTACTTTATCACTTTATTTCTCATTTTAAAGTAACATAGTATGCAGCTTGTTTATAACAACAATTTAGATGATAAACTGTCTGCAGTATAAAACTTACACTGCAATCATTGGTTATTTTTTTCAAGTGTGCGAAAATGACTCCAGTGGAGTCACATTAACAGCAGAGGAGTGTCCCGGTGTACTGAAGATTTTGTTGGCTCTTGTCCAGCTGGGCCTGATTCTTATTCAGACAGTGTGAAGCAATTACTCAGAGATTTGAAAGAGTGAGGAGAGGACTGTCCATGTCTATGTGTGTGTGTGTGTGTGTGTGTGTGTGTGTGTGTGATATATCAGTGAGGTGTTTGGGCCCTCAGCTCATTAAACATTGATAGCAACAGAGGAAGAAAGGTTACCATGGCAGCAGAAGGATTTAAGGTAAGCAGAGGAATGACCAATCAGGGTCTGATGCTAATGGATGCTAAAGATACTGTAGGCATATGAAATAATAAAATACACACTCTTTGTTAGTGGTTAATCCAACATGAAATCATAACATATCTATTTTGCTATCAGCCACATGTGTCAGGCCTGGTTAAAAAGGTTTAATTTTGAGTTTAAAGTTTTGTGGCCAACACATTGCTTTTGATTGTGGTGACATTTTGCACAGTACCGGTAACCAGACTAAAGTCTAGTGATAAATTCAATATGTCAGAAATTAATCTAATAATTAAGGCACTTGAGTTGAAGTGGACAAAAGTGAAACTAGAAACAGTTTTGTGTTGACTCTATTGATACTAAAGTGGAAATTCAATATTATATTGTGATCCTGGTTACTGTTGCTGGTACTTTTTAAAACTCATGCGTCAGAAAATGACACTGTGTAAGAGAAACTCATTTTACATTACATAACATCTGTGCATTGGTGGGATCCTCACCAGTTTTTAAGGCAAATATGAGGTCATCAAACTCCTGCGACTCCTCGTCGGCGGTGACCAGGTTGGTGTTGATGAAGCCTCCCTCGGTGGTGTACGTTCCCATCACAGGACTGGGTTTAAACACACTGCTGGGCTGACTGCTGGGCCGCAGCGATGCTCGCTCCCAGTCTGCTGACACCTGAGGCACACAGATGCACATATACAGCCATATGAGCACATGCACAACTAGCACACAGAGATGGGGACTCGAGTTTGAGACTCAGACTCAAGTCCGACTTAAGTCGCGCACACAGTGACTTCTGACTCGACTTGAGACTCGTCCTCAAAAGAGTTCAGACTTGACTCGGACCCGAGGTGTGGGACTTGTGAACAATGTTTATTTTTAGGACACGTCTGATGAGCTTGCAGTTATTACCTATAACCTACCTACGTAACAAGTAGTATAAGCTGCGCGCTGCCACACGTGAGAGTGGACAACAAACACCGGCAGCAACTGCTGTGCCATTCATCATAAAATTTGGCTTTAAAACTTCATATAACAAGGTCCAAACAAAGAAGGGCTGAATGCAAAATAGGTTAGTAACCTGAGGTTAGTAAATATGTTTAGCTCAGCATTGGCCATTTAACGTTAGCTTGCTTCTTGCCTTAGCTACGACCTACCGGAGGTTAACTCTGACTGTCCTTCGTTATGAAAAGATGAATGAGCGCTTGTTTACTTGTGGCTGCAAACAGGTTCCAGGTTTATTGTTGATCATGTAACGTGACAGTTTTATTTAGTTATAACCATGTTTAACCATTTAGTTATATCATTATAACCACGAGTGACATAGAGAGTAGTTCTTAAGTTGCATATCATAGTTCACGTTAAAGACTGTCTTCATGTGTTGTTGATAAAGATCAGATCAATGCTCTGAAAACATTAACCTGATAATGCAGGGCAAAATCAGGTCAACCATTCTCATTATCAATACTCTCACACACATATATGCACATTTAATTCAGCAAATGGCTGCGTCTGTCAGCCATGTAATCATGTCTGTGATGAGTTAGGGTCAGCCAAAGTGCATGTTGTCTAAGCACCCCAAAGGGGTAAGGCCAACCCACAGGGCAGTGGGTTCACGGGGTGAGAGCAAGGTCAGTGGGTATAGGGTTTCACACTGAATCAGAACTAACAACATGGAAAGGATGCTGCCGGCAGAGAGTTAGACAGATGACAGCGGAGAATCAAAAATTATTCATTTTGGGTGAATAAACACTTCATGCATTCTTAAAGCAAAATACAAGAGTGAAGGGACAGAAAAAATGAGATGAAGATGGCAGAGAGTGAAACAAAAAGAGGAAACAACCACAATAATCACCCTGTGAATCCACAATCTCCCCTTGTTTTCCACTGTGTTCATTTATTATGAATGCCTCATCTGTCCATGTACATGTATAAATGTACGTGTATCTGTGTGTTGTACAGGCATCTGAGACTCGCCTGACTGTAACTGGCACAGAGCGTACCAGTGAGGTGAATTAGGCACCACCAGGCACCTCATACCTGTCACATCCACTTAGAGAGGAGGCAGTGAGTGGATGACTCGAACCTTTCAACAAACTATTCAACCCTCTGTTCTAATCTCACTTTAATTCCTTTTCAACCAATCCTCTCCACAAATCACCAATCATGTAAGACTCACCGCTCCTAGTGGTCTCTATCTGTACTCTTATTTTTCTTACTTTGCTGTAGCCAATTCTCAGATGTGAAGAGAGATTGAGAAGGAGAGAGGTAAGGGGAGGTTCCCAGGAGTAATGAAGTTAATCCCTGCCCCCTTTCTTCTCCTTCTTTCTTTCCCTCTCACCGGCTTAGTCCTTATAGGGTATTCTCCACGGACAACATTGCTGGGGAGAGTTACTACAGAAGTACTGCAAGTGTGTTTCCACTGTGTGCTTGAGTGTGATGTGTAGGTCGGATAGAAAGGTTGCAAGAGGAGTTAATGTGGGTGTTTGTGGGAGTTATGAAGACTGGCCACACACACACACACACACACACACACACACACACACACACACACACACACACACACAGATGTTACATAATGAGAATCAATCTGAAGCAGACAGGCCAAACAAATGTCTGAGTGTGTGAAAGTGAATGTTCTCTGTGGAGTTACGTTAAGCTTATGTGAGAAATGTGTGAAGGAGGACTGGGAATAGGCAAATAGAGCCATGGGAATGAGGGCATGGGAAAAAAAGGGGAGGGGACGAAAATCAAGCAAGAGAGAGAAAAGGTGGAACACATTTTTTTATAAGCTGGGTCTAATTTTCTGTTTTGGCTATCACTCATATAGGTTATGATAAGATTTTACAAAATGTCTGAAATGTGACAGCATGTGGCACCGTTTCTCCAAAGGGGCAAAGATCATCAAGTGGTGAGATGATTACACAGTTTGTAAACAAACGATTCAGAGTTAAAAGCACAAGCATGTGCATCCAAAATGTCAGTTTTAAGTTGAACCAGGAAGTGAATTATGTATTGGTTGCTGCTTCCCCAGATTTTAGCAAAGCAAAATGTTTTCATTACTAAAAGAACTGATGGCTAAATCTACAAGCAGAAGACACAGATCATAAAAAAACACAATTTTCCATTTAGTTTTGAGATGAGGACATAGTTAAGAGTGGAACATGTCATGTACGGCAACTAAAATAAAAATGCTAAGCATTAGAGGTGGAGAATATGGAACATACTTGAAATCCATATTATCGAGCTCTGTGTGTGTATGTACCTCCTCCATGGCGCTGATGAGATTCTGAGTTGATTTGCTTATGTCGCCCCCTACAGTGGTGGGTCCCCCACCCTGATACGTAGAGTCGGGACTGTCATGGCCACTCATCTCCACTGTGTAACTGGCTTTAGTCGGCCAACATAGCTGGTTGTGCATGACGAAGTACACTGCAATCACATACAAGCCCTGTAGAGAAAGAGGGAAAACCAGCATTAAGAAATTCTCCACAGTCTGATCTTTTGCAGAGCACCTGAAGATCATTTATGATCAGTCTAAAGCCTGTTTAGACAATCTGTTAGGACAAAGTCTGTGATGCTGGCTACATATTTTCAAACTGTGAAACACGAGCATAAATCTGTTAAATCAAGTCATACTGCAGTCAGGATGCAATGCATGGGTACTGGACAAAAGGTTCAACTTCTTTCACATCATTATTAGCAGCAGCATATCTTCCAGCATGATTAACATAAAATTACTTCATCATTGGGCCATGATGTCGTTGGAACAATGACAATTCCTCGTCATTACCAAATCCTCTTGGCCAACAGCAACGGGGCGCGAATTACCCCAAGACACCAGAGTGTCAAATACCACAAGCCCATCCCGTATTTCACAACACCCATCACCAGGCGATGATGGCAGACAGAGATGGAACGCACAAAGAGTGCAAGGCACAAAATGTGTGAATATGTGCACATACAAACACCCAACCTATCCTCACACACTTATTCAGACATATGAAAAGACTGTGATTCTGTCTAATTTAAAGTGACAAGAAATGGGCATAAAGTAAGTTCCTGGACACTGAAGGACAGTAATGATCCCTGACATCATAAGAGATATATATGATCTTTAGATATGCTAATTGTTAATAATTAATAAACCCAGATGTATTTAGTTGCCTTGTATGCGAAAAATACATGTCTATTAAATGTTCAACTTGTCTGGTGAGCAAAGTGTCTCATTTTTAACAAGATGCAGAGACTTAGAACTTTCAAAACTATCCCAAACAGAATGTTTTAAACATCTCACTTTATGACAAGCAGTATGTTACATACTCAAACTATAAAGCTGCATGTTACAAAACCACATGCATCTGTTTCTTTCTTTTCTGTGTCTAACAGAGCACAAGAAACAGCAGATCAGACAGCTGATTAGCAAAGAAGAGTAAACCAGCATGCTCGTATATAGTAAAGTGATCATCATTACCCATGTACCTGAAGAATATTGACATAGAAAGGGATTATAAACAGTTCTGATGGTTACAATCACCATTACAAGGAAGACAACAGGAACCGTAACTGGAAACTGTGTGTTTATGGGAGCACTGTAAAACAGGAACATTCAGCTTGTAAGAAGGAAAAAAAGGGTTGCAAATAGATAAAACACACAGAACACGTAACAGTTCATTGGCTGTGCTTTCTAGCCTGGAGTTACACTAACTGTGATTGCTGTACATCCACTTAAATGTATATGTGTCTGTGCATTAATGTGGAGTGTGAAGTGTGAAAAGGAGAGATTTAAACAATTTCATGGTTAGGAGCTAGGTTTGGCGTTATGAGTGTTTATACTGTCATGAGTTTTTGTTTGCATTTTCTGTGTATTAGGTTAAAGAAGGAAATACACTTTCATTGCGTGATAATATAAATCATTAAAAGCACAAAAGAAGCCATGTGTGTATTCACATATGGGTGTGGATGTTGTTAGCTATCACGACAGAGCTGTGGGTGATTAGCACAGATCATTAGCAGGCTGTGCAGCCTGAGGAACAGGCTTTACTACCTGAAGGGGGGTTAGGGTTAGCGGGGGGAGGAGGGGTGTGTGTGTGTGGGGGGTGTTATGAGCACAGATTGTTACTTGTTGTGTGAGGCCTGCAAAGAATTAGGATTTAGATGACACTGATCTGTTGCTTTTATGAGCACTGAAAATTATTTCTCACAATATTATCTCCAATGTATTGTGTGTAAGATTGTATAGACACGCGTGGGCCTGGGTCTTCTTTTCCATAATACCACACAGATATCCTGTGTCCTATTTTTAGGTGAGTACAAAGGTTGAATGAGGAAACAGGGGTGGAATTGAATTGTAATGGAGCATGGTGCTGCTTCACTGAAGTGGATGTCTTTGACTGTGACAATACAACGAGGTAAGGTTTACCGGCAGTGAGGCCGCCGCAGGAGGAAATAATGAGGGGTGGTACTGTGGTGATTTGATTATTGTCTTCTAATTGGGCCTGATGTGGCACAGATGTGGATGCAGAGTAGCAGTGTGGTATAATAGAAAACGAGGGAGGGAAGAAATATGGAGGGAGAAAAGAAACAAACTGTGGTCTGTGGATTAAAAAGTCAAATTTTCCTAATTATTACTACAAATATGACCAGTTTCAGAGTTTGGTTGTATCGAATACCCAGCTGCAGACTAAAGTTTGCTTTCTTCAAACACAGCGCTCAATAACCAAAGAGTAATCTGTGCTCTGATACACAAACACAGTGGTGCACAGCTGTAACATCTGCAGCTGTTTAATGGTGTTCGGTAATCAGCTGTTGGGGGGTGAGCCACACAACCACATCAACAACAACACCAAGGTAAACATGGAAAATTCTCCTAATGGAAAATTCACGGCATGAAGGAAACAACAACAACTGCTCTTCTAAACTTTGCAGCAGAGACCTGCAGTATAATGACTTCCAACCTCAAGGCAATGGAACAGAATGGAAAATTATCACATTAAAGACCTGAATTAAGGATAAGATAGCGTGTTTAAATAAGCAGCTAGTGGAATAATAATGTTGCCAGAAACAGGTGGCTATGCAGCACCTTAGTCTGTGCAATATGGAAGTACAAAGTTCGTTAACTCTTTTGGTAATTTAAACATTTACACATTGAGTGCAGCAAATCCAATAATGAAGTGACAATAAAATTAGAATTCAATCTAGTTATTAAGATGATGCTGGATGGGCGACATGAAATCTAATCTGAAGAGATTAGAGAGAGTTAATTTGTTAATGGATGTGACAATCATCACAACTTTTAGTTGACATTTTCTTGTGCAACAGTTTTCAACAAAGTATCCTGTAAATAGCCCTTTAATCAGAACTTCTTGAAATGGCACCAGGGCACATTAACACAGGAATTCACTTCTTTCATATGTCTTCAAAGGCCTGCATCTGATATGAATCATGACAATCTAATTGCTGTTCAAGGTGTTTGATAAGAAGTACATTTTCAGTCTTGTTTATCAGGATCCCATTTGCTTTCATTCAATCTCTTATGGCAATCCCACATAATGTCAGCCCTCTTACTCCAACTCTTCTCTCCTTCACAGCTAAGTAAATTAAGCTTGCTCCACAAAATGTGCATGGGCACACACAAATCTAATTGCAACCATGCTTGGTTCACAACAACAGCATCGACACATAATATCTTTCTTTAGCAGTGTTTTGTGAAAACTGGGTCAGACGAGTTTGTTTACTGCTAATCAATGTCTTTGGACACGCTTTGGCTTTGGGGCTCTTTACCTGTCTGTTCCACTCTGATGACTACTTCTTTATTCCCTCCACAGACCCAGATCAAACCCCAGAGGCTCCCGTTTTGGTCTGAACTTTGAGGTTGCAATGTAGGAGCTAGGATTGAAAATCAATTGCCATAGTTGTTTTCTAAAAGTCTTTTTTTTTCTCTTTTAGACAATGCTGCAAGGTTCAAAAGTTGGCTGTGAGGGTCAACTTGTCGAAAGAATTTCTTCCACCTGAAGCCAAGGGAAAACTGGATGAGGAGACAATCTATTAGGCTGGCATGAAGTCCTTTAATCGTATGTCTCCCCTCTCATTAGAAATTTCGCTGACAGCCATAGAGCCAACCAGGAGGGGACATGTGTTATACATGTGATGTGTGTGTGTGAGTGGGTGTGTTTGTGCGTGACTGCCTGCCTGTATGTTTGAGTTATTTGTGTGAAGGCCGACCTCGGAGGATTGGACACAGAGAAGTAGGAGGCCTTGGGGGCCTAAATCAAAGACAAGAATGCATTAAGGTCACTAAAGTAGGAACAAAAGAACTTTAATCTTGTGTTCCCATGGGATTAAAGCAGCAATCAAAGTTAAAAGAAAAATAAAACTGTGACATAAATTAATTTTAGGAATCTAACAAACGAATGGTTATTCAGTCTCTCAGAATCAGCTTTATTGCCAAGGTTTACACATACAAGGAATTTACTTTGGTGACTTGGTGCATGAATAAACATACAATATCTAAATATAAAAATATTAAGTTGACAAAGTAAATGACAGAACAAAAATTGTGCAAAAGAATTAAAAATCCTATTATTGACAAACCTGGTCATATAACCAGTGACCACTGACTTTAAAGAGCACCATCACACTATTGGTCAGCTGTAATAAGTGACCACATGATGTCACAGAGGGGAACAAACTCATAAACAAGTGCTAAGTGCGACATCGACCATTGGCATTGACATCACTTCTCTTCATTAGTCACTGTATCAACAGGAGAAGTTTACTTTGGTGCAACACTGTTGTCTTTTACATCTGGATGCCACATATCGTCACGGGTTACCACAGACCCGTTATGGCACACTTTACAGGCAGATGGTGTCTCTCAGAGGATGACAGAAGAGGATCACAGACATTTATCGACTGGACAAGAAAGAAAACCAAGGAGAGAGGGGTCGGGAGGGCTTCCTGGATATCTTTTTCGAAAAAAGGTTGTCATGGTCGATCAAAGAAGTTGAGTGCACATACTCAGCATCATATCGTGAGGTTGTCTTTGGGAAATAGACGTATTAGTGCTGTCAGCATTGCTGTAGAGGTTGAAGGGGTAGGGGGTCAGCCTGTCTGTGCTCAGACCATACGTCGCACACTGCATCAAATTGGTCTGCATGGCTGTCGTCCCAGAAGGAAGCCTCTTCTAAAGATGATGCACAAGACAGCCCACAAACAATTTGCTGAAGACAAGCAGACTAAGGACATGGATTACTGCAGACAGACTCAGCCGCCCTGATTTCCTCGGGCAGGCTGTCCCAGTATTCCAGCATGATATCGACCCCAAACACACCTCCAAGACGACCACTGCCTTGCTAAAGAGATACTGTAATTTATTCGCTCAAGATGCAAAACATTTCCACACTATATTCCTGTGCAGTCCAACGCTTAGCCACCCATCGTCACTATATTGAAGCCGTGCTAGCCTTTCCAAAGTGTCCGAACCAGTATTAGACCATCAAGTGACACTGTATGACTATAAAAACATACTTGTTCAGATGGTTTGGCAGCTCTCTTTGGTTGTTAAAAGACAGGTTTCACAGCAGGCTTTTTCAGTGAAACAGTTTAGTGAAATCCTCTCAGACAACACCGAACCTATTTTTTTCTGATCAGCCACATGCAATCAATAGTAATACTACAAGAAAAAGTTATTGATGACATTACCCAATACCAAAATGGAGAGAAAGTAGAAGAATAGAAGATAATAGAAGAATAAACTAAAAAGAATTCAGTTCACTTAGGATGCACACTTTTGTCACCTGTATATATCTCCTCTTATACTTGGAGCTAGTGTAGTACTTGAGACCGGTCTTGAGATCACTTTTTGATGGTCTTGGTCTTGTCTTGGACTCGACCGCATTTGTTCTCGGTCTTGGACATTGAGGACTCAGGATTTTATTTCAAGGGATATCAATAAATTTCTTTTGCATTATCTGATTTATTTGTTAGCATCCTAACTTTGACTGGATGGAAAACGTATTGCTTCAAATGCAACCAATAACCCTAATTAAAAATGTGTTGTTACCATTACCGATTTCAGCTCTTCATGTTTGTATATGGGTGTTTTAATAGGTATGTGGATCTTTCAGATCAGTTTGAGAAGCACCTATGATCTCGTTCCACATTTTATTGTGTGTCGGTCTTGGTCTTGACTGGTCTCAAACCCCTAAAGGTCTTGGTCTTGTCTCTGTCTCGATAAACTCTGGTCTTGGTCTTGACTTGGTCTCGGTTTGGGTGGTCTTGACTACAACACTACTTGGAGCACAGTGTCGGAATATAGACTGAGAACAGCAAACTAAGCAAGGGGTAAGCAGAGAGACAACAAATAGAGAAAAGCACAAATGGAAAGTGGAGAGAGAGATGGCAGTGAGAGGCTTCAGTGAGATGTGACACAGTGATAACCCCTCCTCTCTCTCCACTCCTGAGGCTCTTCTTGTGCTGCCTCACCAACACATCAAAGCAGAGCTTCAAAGTGGGATGAAGCAGCCTTCATCACTCTCTAAGTCAACAAAACATCAACAGACACACACACACTCACGCATGTACACAGACACACATACCAGACTAGTAGCCTAAATCATCAATATTTTATTTGTGGTAACTTCCAGAAAGCCCTCTTATATTATCCATGAAATGCAAACACACTCAGAATTACCACACAGAAGAAAAGATCTATGTTAATCAAAAAGTACACATGCTGATATTATTATTTTTGCACCCTGTAGAACCCTCAAATCCCCACACTTTTTCCTGGCTCAGAGTGCAGTTTGAAGTTTGCGAGGTAATTTGTAGATTTTAGTGTGCAATTAGGAGCTGTATAACAAAATAAATGAGTGTATCTTTAATGATGTAAACCCAAGTCCAACCTGGAAAAAGAAATGCTTGGCAAACTCAAAATACAACACACTTCAAGTGTGAGGGTGCACATCAAAACATTTGTTTGGATGAATTTCACTTCTTAACTCTGCACTTGGGACAAATTTATGTTAATGGTATCAGTAAATTGTCTTGCCTGCAATACAAGTTGGTGAGATGCTGCTGTTGATTGAGAAAATTGTATAAATTTAAAGTAGACAAGTAAGCAAGCATGTAAACAAACTAATAGATAAATAAGTAAATGAGCTCACCAGCAAACAGTTAAAGATGACGTAGAGGATGAGCATCCACAGGTACCTGTAGCTCATATGGAGTCCAGCCCACAGCCAGACCAGGGAGATGAGCAGGAACAAGTAAAGGACCAGCGGCACCTCTGGGCACAAGATAACAAACACAGGAGGATTAAAAAACAACATCTTCACAAGTTAGTACGCCAAAAACTAAATAAAATATATAATATGAGTATGTAATGTAATATCCAGTTGATAAGCTTGTAAGTACACAAGATAGTAAAAGCTTATGCCAGCTGTATTCTTTTTATGAATGTGCATGTACACATTCTCACACACACCACACACACACACACACACACACACACACACACACATACTACAAGTGAGTTTCACACTTCATGCTTGAATCTAGTTTCAAGTAGTATAGCATGTTTTTAAAGCAACGGCTGATAATCCCCAGTAAGAAGAGAAGGTTTGGGTGTTAGAGCCAGGAGCAGGCCTCAGGAGTTGTTTAATGAACCAGTTTTCACCCCCTTATTCAGCATTGGTGTACAGCAACTTTCTGCTCCAAAAGTCTTAATGAGTCCACATGTGGACCCTGGTTTAAGTGATTACTGTAAACTGCTGGAGAGAAGAAATACAAAATTGGCTGAGAAGACCTCAGACACACACACACACACACACACACACACACACTGAAAACCCTTTATGTATGCCAATAAGCAAGCACACATGCAAGCATGCGCTCAGGGCTGTACTCCCATTTTCCCCACTCAGGGCTTCATCTATTGAACATTTGCGATGCCACTAATGCACTGATCAAAAGCCAGTGCGGACAATCATTTAATTTGTGGAAAGGTAACAGACAAATGTAAATATATATATACATATATATATACACTTTATATTTTAAGGAGTGGCAATAGTACAGTGCAAAATAGAGTAGATTATCAAAATGGACATGAAATTATAACTCTGATTAATTCACTGATATAAAGAGTGTGTGTATGTGGCTAATTAATAATTACTTTTGAACAAACAGCCTGGTGGACAATGTTTTTTCAATTTTGTTTGATCGCTAATAGCTTCTAAATGCTTAACAATGACATTAAAACCAATCCTACATTGCCTAGTAACATTCTTTAGTATAAAATACTAATATTGAAATTGACAATGCTTAAAGGTTCAGTGTGAAAGATTTAGTGGCATCTAGTGGTGAGGTTGTGAATTGCAACCAACTGTCCAGTCTATCACTGCCCCCTACCCTTTCAAAGAGCATAGGACAGCTACGGTGGCTGAGACAGCACAAAAGGTTTCTCTTCTGAGACAGCATAGAGTAGTCAGTCCAGAAATTAGGTTTCTTTAGGTAGATATATTAATGATTTATATTTACTTAATTATTTAGTATATCCATATGTTACTGTGACTTGGACACTGACAAATAACATGGAAAATGTAAGCCAAGAGAGTGAAACATTGTCACTGTTTCTGCACCACAGCATTATAAACCACATAATAGATGAAATTTATACAAACATTGACAAGGGAAACACATTAATTCTATCTGTGATCATGGACCCTTGCCAAAACTGCCCATCAACAATAATATCTGGCCCGCGGCCAGATTATGGTGCTTTGATAGCTGTAAAAAATATAAATAAATAAATACTTTGATAGCGGTGCTGAATTAGATCTCAGTCAAGGTAGTAACAGTTACACACATAATCACTTCCTCTTTGTAGTTTTGCCTGCAAAATAAAAGTGTGAGAAGCTTGTTTGCTGTAATGCTTACTTGGAGTTGAATTGAGAGCTTTTTTCTTTGAAAAATTGGGAAAATAATTTAACAGAATCTGGCAGCAAATTAAAACAGATGTCATCCAATATCTGAATGTAGCAAAACTGTCGCAAGCTCCATCAGGAGGTAGTAACTTTAGCAGTAAAAAAGAGGAACAGAGAATGTGACGAACTTAAACAGGAGAAATTAGTAGTTCGGGGGTCGCCCCGGAAAAAAATCCTTGGGGAAACACAAATAGTAAATATGGCCCTAAAAACACATGCAACATGCACAATGCACACATGAACTGCTAAAATGCTCACTCTTTCCCCTGCATGCTGCATACAGTACAGTGTACACACACAACACTGTACACAGCATGCAGAAATACAGGCAAACAGATCTTCCGAATTAGGACTAGGTCAAGTGTTTTTAAGATAAGACAAGCCCACCACATGTTTCTAAACAGAGTTCTCCTGTAGCAACTGGCGCCACTAGTAACCCACTTTCTGTCAGTGTTGATAGACCACATACAGTATGTCATGCTACATAAGTACATAAGTAGAGATGAATACTTAAAATGTGTCTGTCCTTACTATAAAAGATAAGACAGATACATTCATATTCCTTTTAACAACTGCAATTGTAAGATTCATGATTCTTGATTAATGATGTGAGAGTTCAAGAGAACAATCTCACATTGAAGTGGAGACTGAATTAAGGCCACTGGCGTATCATCTATCAGTTCATGGTATTCCTCTCAGCTTGAAAAATCATTCCCTCTTCTTTTATTAGAACAGCTAATTAGAGGACAAACAAAATGAGCACTGCCAATCAGGAGCAGACTAAGTCAACAGTCAAGAGTGAGTCATCACAACAGAGAGAGAGTCAGAGAGAGGCCTGCTAAATAAAACAGCTCATTACTATCCAGCTTATTTCCTTCAAAAGGAAATAATGAAGCAGGACAAGGCAGCTGTTGAAATAAGCCAAAATAATGTATATTTTTAAAAGATGTGGCCCTTATAAAGACGATGGGTTACGGGGAAAATTAAAAAGAAAAGGCCGGATTTGATCAAATTTATAGCCTGATTTTTCAGTTTTTTTGTATTGGGGGCATCAGATTCTCTTTACAAAAAGGGGAAGAGATTTGTTTGCTAATTGGCCATCAAAGGTGCAATGCAGTAGTAGAATATTTTAAACACACCCTCTTTTTGGTTAGCATAAATTAGCATCGGCTTTAGCTCTGGTCTGATAAATACTGAGCTGATGAATAAGTAAAATCAAATGTATTAAAAGTGCATAATCACGCACACACAAGAGTCTCTCAACACACGTTACAATGGCAGTAGCACTAACAAACAATGCAACTGATAGATTATTAAGAAACACAAATTATATATATTAATAGGTAGAGATAAAACATTGATAACAATAGCAATAAATCAACAAGTTGCAATGAGAGGATTCAAACAAACAAAGATAATGAACCGACCAGATGATTACAGTAAATTAAATAATACGACTACGAATATAGCTGGGAAGACTGTTAGGAAGGGACTACAAAGCGGACCCAGAAGAACGCAGGAGGCGTGTTAGTGTGTATGACAGAAAGAGATGTGAGAGGTAACCAGTGCTAGCCCATGTGGTGCTTTATAGGTCAGTGTGAGTACTTTAAAATCAGCTGTAGTTTGTACTGGCAGCAAATTGGAAGAGGTTCTAGTTCTGGTTAGGATTCTTGCAGCAGTGTTGGACAGTTTCCAGGCTATTTGGCTGGGGTAAGCAAGAGAAAAGGAAATTAACAATAATCAAGCCATGAAGACATGAATGTATAGATCAGAATCTCTGTATCAGATAATGAGAGAAATGGGTGTATTCTGGCTGTATTACGGAGATTGTGAAACGCTAACTTAAAAGCAGACCTGATGTTGAATTCAAGCGACAAGGAACTCATCCATAAAGATACAGAGACACATATTTAAATGGACATATGTGTTTGGCCGGTCCAACAATAACAATTTTGGTTTTATCTGTGTTTAACATTAGAAAGTTAGAAGTCATCCAGTTATTAATTTCAGACAGGTATGCGTTCAGATTAGAGAGACTGATAGATCCACTGGGTTGAATAGGAATGTATAACTGTGTATTAT